CACTTGTTAGGTCCAGTCTTTTAAGCTTCTCAGCAAAGCCGGGTTACATGGGGCACTGTAAGCATCGCCCTTGCTAGTGTCCGGGGCCTCAGACATCTGAGATGGGGCTGGGGTGACAGCTCAAGAGTAAGGAAGGAAGTCCACAGGAGTGAAATTAGTAAGTGTTAGGCTAAATGTCTGTGCAACCTAACTCATTTCATAACGTATAAGCTATAACTAACGTAAACACTTAAGAAAGTAGAAAGTTAAATATGTTTGGTATGATGCCGGTATGGCCCGTCCGAAAAAATGTTAAGAGTGGCTTAGGTCTGCAGAGCTCTTAAACTGGCTTCACCCATCCCTCACAGTTAGTGTCCCTGTCTGGGTGCAGAGAAGTCGTTAGAATCTTTTACAACGAGAAGGAAGAAGGCTACTAAGGAAGATGGAGACGCCCGTGCAGTAAAGGAGCCGGGACTGTCGAGGGAGAGTCAACAGCGTGAACGCCGCAGGTGCGTGCCTGTTGCCTGGGAGGAAACCGGAGGTCTTGGACCCGTCACTTCCCCTCACCGGCTGGCAGGGGGTGCCTAGCCGAGGACAGCTTGGTTTGGGGTGTGTCAGGGCAAGAGGGGAGAGTTTTGGTGAGTTACAGGACAGAGGAGCAATGCGCAGCCAGTCATTTCTGTGTCCTGGGTGCTTCAGAGTCAAATTGTTGTTAACTCCTAGAATACTTGTACGCTGTACTGATTCACAGATACTTTTAACGCTGGATAGTTTTGTAATTCATGAGGGGTTTGGGTCCCTCCCTGGAGACGCCAGACTGAGGCCGGGGCAGGGCGGACATCCACAGTGGAAGGGCACAGGCTGAGCGGGGAAGACTGGGGGCTCCGACGCCCCGCAGGTCAGGGGCTGGTCCAGCCGGGAGCAGTCAGGTCTGACCAGGTGTTAATGTGGGCCCAGGGTTGTCGCTGGGCTGCAAGGACACGGCGGGAAAGCGGGACAAGGGGACCAGGAAGTGATCGGGAGGGGCAAGTCAGATGGGGACTCTCCCTGCCGGCCGCTGCTCCGAGTCCAGCCGGGACAGGAACTTCCGTTGTAACTGCCTGTAGTTGCTAATTTAAACTACCATCTCGGAGCCAGTCCGAAGTGAAATTCCAAGGATGACTAAGCGTCCTTTTTTATTCTTTCTCCCCCAGCTTGCACACACAGGCTCCATCCCATCATGAAAATCTGTGCCAAAGAGATCCTTTAATACCATTCAATTAAGGCCTTATTCTGATGAGCAAGTGTACTAACTCTTCCAAGAATAATCACATGGAGACAGACTTCTGTGGTCAAAGACACCTGGAAATCAAATATCCCAATGCTAAAAGGTACCCAAAATAGATCAACAACAAGGTCCTGCTGTGTGTACCGCACAGGGCGCTATATTCAGTATCTTGTAATAACCTCTAACGGAAAGGAATCTGAAAAAGAATATATATGTGTGTATGTGTGTGACTGAATCACTGTGCTGTGCTTCTGAAACTAACACAACATTGTAAATCAACTATACTTCCAAAAACACTTGAAAAAAAATCCCCAGCTATTCCAGAACTGGTCTCCCCTGTGCGGAATTCCTGACAAGAAGCCACAGGGCCCGTCCTTGAGCAGCGGGACCCTCCCTGCAGCCCCCGCTGCTGTCCTGCCATGTGACAGGGGCCTGACGGGTGTTACTCATGTGATCCTCGCAGTCGCCCTCTGAAGTCGGGACGGTTATCACCGTTGTCTGGAGAAAGAAACTGAGGCTCAGACAGATGAAAATACTTGCCCAAAGCCCTGTAACTGTTAAGTAGAAAAATGCTCACTCTCTGAACGCAGGTCCAGGTGTCAGAACCAGAAGTTCCAGGGACCCAGTTCATCCCACGCCCCAAACCGTTCTTTGCGGGACGCAGAATTCTAAGCCCCAAGGTGCACCCCGCCCGGTGTGCAGCCACCTTTTCCCAGGTGTTCAGTCAGACTCTAACCTAGGCACTGCAGTGAAGGGATTCTGCAGGTGTAATTAAGTTCTCAAATCAGTTGACCCTGAAGTCAGGAGATGACCTGGCGGGCCTTCCCTAATCACATGAGCCCGTTAAGGAATTTCCTCCAGCTGGTGCAGAAGACGCGGTCAGTCTCAAAGCAGTGGAGACACTTCTCCAGGTGGCCTGGAAGGGGCAGCTGCTGTGCTGTGGGCCGTGTGGTAGGGTCGGCAGGCTGCCCTGAGAGCAGCCTCTGGCTGACAGCCAAGACCAGCCCAACAGGGACCCTGGACCCCAGCCGCGAGGAACTGGGTTCTGCCCCCACCTGAGGAGCAGGGAAGGGGCGCTGTGCTGCGGATGGAGGAGCGGGGACAGAGGCCCCACCGTGCCCTGCCAGACGCTGTAAGATTATTGTGAGGGTTACGCCCCGGGTTTGTGCAGCAGAGAACTACAACCTCGCCTGCCCTGTGGTCTGAGGTCGGGCCCCAGGAGTGGGCCTGAGACAAGGATTCTGTTTTATCTTAGTTATTAATTTTTATTATAATATGCTCTTTTTTGTTGAAATACAGTCAATTACAATGTATCAGTCTCTGGGGTGCAGCACAATGTCCCAGTCACGCATGTGCATACATATATTTGTTTTCATATTTTTTCCATTAAAGATTATTACAAGATACTGAATATCACTCATATGTGGAGTCTAATAATATGCTCTTTTTAAACATTTTTTTGAAGTATAACTATATTAAAATATTGTGTTGCTTTCAGGTGTACAGCAAAGTGATTCAGCCATATATATATATTATTCTTTTTCAGATTCTTTTCCATTATAGGTTATTACAAGATATCGAATGTAGTTCCCTGTGATGTACAGTAGGGCTTTTTAATTTATTTGGTATATAGTAGTTTGTATCTGCTAATCCCGAACTCCTAATTTATCCCTCCCCCTTTCCCCCTTTGGTAACCATACTTTGTTTTCTATGCCTGTGAGTCTGTTTCTCTTTTGTAAATAAATTCATTTGTATTATTTTTTTAGATTCCATATATAAGTGGTATCATAATATTTGTCTTTGTCTGACTTCACTTAGTATGATAATCTCTAGGTCAATCCATGTTGCGGCAAATGGCATGATTCTATTCTTTTTATGGCTGAGTAGTATTCCACTGTATAAATATACCACCTCTTCTTTATCCAGTCATCTGTTGATGGACACTTAGCTTGCTTCCACACCTTGGCAATTATAAACAGTGCTGCTGTGAACATTGGGGTGCATGTGTCTTTTTGAACTAGAATTTTCATCTTTTCCAGATCTATGCCCAGGAGTGAGGTTGCTGGATCAAATGGTAAGTCTATTTTTAGTTTTTTAAGGAAACTCTGTACTGTTTTCCGTAGTGGCTGCACCAATTTACATTCCCACCAACAGTGTAAGAGCCTTCTGTTTTCTCCGCACTCTCTCCAGCATCTATTATTCGTAGACGTTTTGATGATGGATGGCCGTTCTGGTTGATACGAGGTGATGTCTCACTGTGGTTTTGATTTGCATTTCTCTAATAATTAGCGATGTTGAGCATCTTTTCATGTGCCCGTTGGCCATCTGTATGTCTTCTTTGGGGAGATGGCTGTTTAGGTCTTCTGCCCACTTTTGGCTTGAGTTGTTTGTTTCTTGATACTGAGCTGTATGAGCTATTTGCGTATTTTGGAAATTAAGCCCTTGTCGGTCAGATCATTTGCAAATGTTTTCTCCCAGTCCACTGGCTGTCTTTTCGTTTTGTTTATGGTTTCCTTTGCTGGGCAAAAGCTTTTAAGTTTGGTTAGATTCCATTTGGTTATCTCTATTTTTCTTTCTTTCGCCTTGGGAGACTGAGCTAGGAAGATACTGATACGATTTATGTCAGAGAGGTTCTCTTCCAGGAGATTTATAGTGTCCTGTCTTACATTTAGGTCTTTAAGCCATTTTGAGGTTACTAATGTGTATGGTGTGAGGGAGTGGTCTTTTTCATGTATATAAATATTTATTTTTTATTGAAGTGTAGTCAGTTTACAATGTTGTGTCAGTTTCTGGTGTCCAGCACAATGCCTCAGTCATACATGAGCATACATATATTCATTTTCATATTCTTTTTCACCATAAGTTACTGTAAGATACTGAATATAGTTCCCTGTGCTGTGCAGTGTGAACTTCTTGTTTAGTGAGGGAGTGTTCTAATTTCGTTAATTTACACGAGACTGCCCGGCTTCCCAAACACCACTTACTGAAGAGACTGTCTTTTCTCCATTGTATATTTTTGCCTCCTTTGTCGAAGAGTAATTGACTGTAGGTGTGCGGGTTTATTTCTGGGCATGAGACAAGGATCTGAGTGGAAGTTTGTAGGGGGCTGATCCTGGGAGGCGGGTGGAGGGCGGTGGGGACAGAGCAGGGAGGGAAGGAAGGAAGCTGCGTTCCGTGCGGGCTCGGTAAGAGACCTGGTCACCGGCGGCCCCTCTGAGTCAGGGAAGCGGGGCTGTTTCACCTCCAGTCCATCCTTGGCTGGTCCTCCTTCCCAAGGGGTGTTACAGGGAGGACATGCAGAAGAGGGTCTGGGAAGGGCAGTGTCACAGGAACAGGGGACGGTGTCGGCTACAGAGACGCTCAGCAGGAAGCCCCTCCCCATGCGTAGCCCTGGGTCCTGGCTTGGCCCCTGAGCTCATGACTGTCTTCTCCACACTTTCCGGACACCTGCAGTTTTCAGCTCCTGCAAGTTTCATGTTCCCAGGTGTTCTCTTCACTTGCCAGACATCTCCAGTCTCTCCCCGGCCCCCAGGAAACAGGGATCTGAGTCCTCATCTCGGGAGGTGCTGGGCTCAGAGCTGGTCTGGTGGTTCTCGGCCAAGAGCTGCAATGAATATCAGCTTCCAGGCAGCCCCCTCATTCTGGTGACTCACCTGAAGCTGCCTGGTTCCTGGTGAAGATGCAGAGCCATCGCGCCCTGCCTGCCCGCCCGTCTGCTGGGGAATTGGGATTGTGGGGCAGGACGTCTCACCACTGGGTGAGCTGGGCCCCAGCAGGGCCCGGCTCTGGGGGACGGCGCCGTATTCACAGCCAGGTCACCCAGGCCTGCATTCAATGTTTAGAGGACCTAAATCAGCCACGG